CCATAACATCTCCGTGCTTAATCATTATGCATGCCACCACCAAAACCTAAACCAAGCCCGTGGCTGCCTAGTAGATTTCAACTCGTACAACCCTGTATGACAGTAGAACGATCCCCCGGGGTTTCTTCAAGAGTACGGAAGCAGACTGTCACATCTTTTCCCTGTTTCGCAGCTGATGGCTTGTAACCACTTATTTGAGTAACAGTCCAATCCTCAACCACGGAGGCACCAGCACTGTACTTATCCCCTGTGGACAGATCTTGAAAGAGCACAGTGATCAAGGCAGACGTCCTTTTCTACTTAGATAAGCTGTTGTCTGATTTTAATAAGACATCGGGGGATGTTTTTTATTTAAGGTTAAAAGATGATTTCAGGGTAATACTTTTAGGGGTTCATCAGGTATCATAGCTCTAGGAAGTCTGGCTTTCCTATGAATTTGAAATAGGGATATGTGTCTCATTTTATTGATGAAAACACTTTGATATCTTAAAATACAGTTTTCTCGTGTGTGTGTGTGTGTGTGTGTGTGTGTGTAAGAGAGAGAAAGGGGGTGGGGGGGCGATGAGAATTAAATTGGTTCTGACACATCATGATCCCATTTGTTCCAGAGTAGAAACGGATCCGTAGTGTTTTTCTTGGATGTAATCTGTATGAAGGTATCTCTTAGTGGTGTGTGGTGTAAATGATTCAGCTCTGGACTACTAACTGGGAGGTTGGTTATTAAACCTACCCATAGGCACCTTGGAAGTAGGACTTAGAAATCTGCTTCAAAAAGATGACAGCATGGAACTTCCTGGAGCAGTTCTGTTCCGCACACCTGGGATTATCATGAGTTGGAATCAGATCAACAGTGACTGACAATAGTCTTCATGGATGCAGATTGCGAGGCCTTTCTTCTGTAGTACCGCTGGGTGGGTTTGAACCACCAACGTTGAGGCTAATAGTCGAGTACGAACTGTTTGTACCACCCAAGATTGCTCAGTGCATATATATTTTGTTATGTATAATATGTATATTAAAGTAAGACTTAAAATTATACCTCGATCATACCCAAAGTAAACCCACTGCCATTGACCCAACGCTGACTCACCGTGACTTGACGCCCTATGAAGATCGCTACTGCAGGTGTCGGACGCTGTGCCCGCTGTTCGGGGGGAAGTGGAGAGAGAAGAGTAAGATTTGTCTCCTGCCCAGGAAGTGTCGATTTCCCCAGGGCTGCTGAGTAAACTTGATTTACATACAGTAACTGTGGGACTTGAACTTCACTGATAGACTTCAAAGACTATGGAGCCTTCAGTATGGATCATACCTCCACCTAAAATCCCTTCACAACTGGATCCATAAGTAACATCATGATAACTGGAGAAAACTTCAAAATCACGAGGATTTCATTTTACTTGAATTTATCATAAACACCCATAGCAGCACGAGTCAGAAACCAATGTGTCGTGTTGGGCACATAGGCCAGAACTGCCCTTTTTATATTTGTTTTAAACACTTCATTATGAATAAGCTGAGGTTTACAAAGCAGATCATCAGTTTTTAATCAATAATGTATTCCGCATTTCTTGCCACTCATCCATTTTGACCCCGCTGTATTGTCACTTAAAACCACTTTTCTCGCCGTGTTTCCTTCTGTCTGTCACAGCTCCTTGCTAACCCCCTGTCCTTGGGGCAGTGCTACCCTTTTCGTCCTAAAGTGGTTGATTATTCTAACCTGGGGCTGAATTCCGTTCCAGACCTGAAGTGGAGAACTAAGTCTTGGAAGACCATATTCTTAGGAGGTCCCACCAATCTATGTCCAGGGAATAAGCCTAGTCTCTCTGAGTTTTGTCCCACATTTTTCTCCCATTCCATCCAGGACTTTGTAATGTGACACTTTTCAGAACGTTTACTAATGCTAGCAGAGAGCCAAGGAGTTTTGTCTCCTGGTTGTGGAGACTGATGTTAGCATTGCCCATTAGTTCATTAAATTCATTCTTTCCATGTGCAAATGACCCTTATAAGGTCTTAAAAAACGTGTCACCTTGTGGACTAGGGAGCACCTGACCCAAACCATAGTGTTGTCACTCGACTCATAGGTATGCGAAAGCTGGATAGTGAATAAGGTAGACCGAGAAAGGGTTGATGCATTTTTATTATAACATTGGTAAAGGAGCGTGAAAGTCCTGTAGATGGCCAAAAGAGCAACACAATTGTATTAGAAGTACAGCCAGAATGTTCCTTGGAGGTGAAGGTGGCAATACTTGGGCCACACGTACTTTGGGTATGTTGTTATCAGGAAGAGCCAGTGTCTGGAGGAGGGCGTCATGCTGGTGAATTAGAGGGTCAGCCAAAACGAGGAACACCCTCAGTGAGGTGGGTTTACACAGTGGCTTTTACAGTGGGCTCCAACAGAGCAGTGACTGTGAGGACGATTAGGTCTAGGCAGTGCACCTCTGGTGCACAGAGGGTGCTGTGTTTTGGAAACCATTGGTGATGACCCCAGATAACAAAACCCAAAGCCAAAAGGATGTTCGAGGTCTGTGCAGATTGTTGTTTGGGAACACAATCACATCAACCTAGTTTCCTGTAGTTGGGGAAGACTTCATGAGGCAACATTTGAACTAGGTCATGGTGGATAAGTAAGAACATCAGACAAAGAGGAGGAGGAGGAACTGTTCTGGGCAGATGCTAGTCCATGAGCAGAGGCAAGGAAGCGATGGTTGTGGCTTTGAGGTGAGATCCTTATGTGCTTAGCGTGTGGCTGTGTGTGGAATTGGTGGAAAAGTAGGCATAAGCCATATCATGAAGTGTCTTTCCTATATTTCACAATAAAGGGCTGGGAGTTTTTTCTTGTTGCAGAGAGAACCCATGAACCATGTGTTTGTGACCGGGTGGTTTTGGTAACAGTGTGGGGTAATGTGCTAGAAAGAAAAGAGGGTAGCAATGAGACGGTTTGGAAGGCATTGAATTTCAGGACTTCAGGAAGTTCTGGACATATGGGAAGATGTGTCTGTCGTAAAAAATATGCTGAAGTATAGTCAACTCAATGTGATGATAACAATAAGTGTACCTATTTACAAAAGCAGTAATAAAGATTTGTATAAAATGCTCAAGAGCAGGATGGGAAATAGAAATAGAGGTAGTTTTCTAGTGGTTCAAGCTTTACTTGAATTTCATATAAGTTTTAATTTCCTAAGATTGACCTAAAAGGAGCCCTAGTGGTGTAGTGGTTCAGCATTGGGCTGCTAATTGCAAGGTCCACAGTTCGAAACCACCAGCTGCTCCATGGAAGAAAGACGAGACTTTCTACTCATGTAAACAGTTACAATCTTCAAAACCCATCGGGGCAGTTCTATTCTGTCTTTATAGGGTCATTATGAGTCAGAATCAACTCCGTGACGGAAAAAAAAAATAACAAGACCTATTTTTAAGTTACAAATGATATAGCTCATAGTCACAAAGATTTCTTTATGTCAGGTTTCCACGAACTGGTTTAGGTCCTTGTTACTAATAGCATGTCAACTGTCAACAGCTAAATGTGGAGAAAATAAATCATTTAGATGCACTATTTTATTACAGATTACAATTGAGGGCTAAGTACTGCCTCCTTTTCAAAACACTGGCTTCTTTTAATATATTCCTTTCTGAGAGTAATTTAGTAATTTCACTGTTGCCCTGAAGATAGGAATGTACCTTTGTGTGTACACATGCATGTCATGTCTAAGAACCAAATAGAGGCTAAAGAGGAAAACAAATTTTAAGAGAGAATTGTTTTTCTGTGTAAACATTGAATCCAAAAGATAGTCATTTTACTCAGAGCTCAGCTTTTGATTAAATACGTGGTCCTGGTCTCTTGCGATCAGAACACAGGACTCTATGTAGTCTCCCTGTTCAAAGACTTGCCCTGAAGCTCTTTCTATTGCAAATGATATTCTTTTAAAGACCCCCCTTGACATGATAATTATTTATTTCAGTGAGGAATCATTTGCATAATTACTGCAGTCAGTGGGTGATGACACCAGAAGTAAAAGGTAGTCTTCCCAAAAAAATACAGAAAAAATAAATCACAGCTATTTGCTTGTGCGGTCTCCTATAAAAACAAACTTAAAAAAAATTCTTAAGATGGCATGCATACCTGCCTTGGTTTGAACAAACATGTAGTAGGTATCTAAAATCCAAGCACTTTAAAAAATGCTCTCCTGATAATGGTTATCAGAAACATGTTTACTATGTAACAGTACCCAGTTCAGGGTGAGATAAAGTATCTGTTTAAGATACTATTAAGAAGGAGAAAAACCCACATAATGTCCCAGGGAGTTGTAGAGCGATTGTCTGAGTTTCTGATTTAAAATCTACCCTATTTCTTCAAGTCCACGATCGGCACAGTGGGATTAGCTCTCGGTTTTAGAGCTCACCCAACTGTCTCTCACGGGGCCGCAGCTCTCAGCTGGGTTGCTGTTTCTGGCTTTGGTTGTGGGTGATGATGGATGACTGGACCTGCACCAAAATTCACTGGAGGCATTCTCCTCCCCTGTATCTCATTCTTGACGCTCCTCATGGTACCTGACTTTGGATTATTTACTAGCTGCTAGAAGAGCTGTTTTAAACCTGAAGCTGGTCTCTATAAGATAGAGTTTATAAAATGGTTTTTAGTAGATGGTTTTGTAGACTAACAAGTGTAACGTCTATAATTTTATTAAACATGGAACGATCCAGAATGATTTGTTTAGAATTTAATGTGAGTGGAATCTCAATGGTTGCTCTAGTAACCCATAAGAGAAGCAGTGGTTTGGGGGTCACACATCGATAGCTACGTAATATCTACACATGTGGCTCTCTCTGTCTTCCCAGTGATTAGGCAGTATGTTGGGCTTCATGTATCTGCAAAATTTCAAACAGACTCTTTCACAAATTGCAGGGGTCAGAATTCACTGTTATTCTTGATATCACTGGGTTTGTGGTGCTCTTATATAAAGTTAGATGAAAACATCATCTGGTTGTTAATTGTGTTCCAGATGAAAACTGGGATGAGGACCAGCTGCTTGGTTTTGAACCATGCAATGAAAATCTTATCTCTGGCTGCAATATCATCAATGGGAAATGTGAATGCGACACTGTTCGGACCTGCAACAATCCCTTCGAGTTTCTACGGAAGGATATGTGCCTTTCAGCTCTCAAGAGAATTGAAGGTAAGCACGCAGATTAATTACCCTCTGTGTCAACCCCAAAGCAGGGCTTCCTCTGAGCAGTGATCCTATTTGAGCCTGAAAAGGCAAACACAAGCTGACAGAGGTTAGCTGTTTGTATAACCCCAAAATACTGTCCGTGTCATTAAAACTTGCCAGGTGCTGATGTGGAGGTGGGGGATGCGCACGCGTTGTAGCTTTTTGGAAGCCATGGGCGGTGATACTGTAGTGGTGTGAGCAGGGGCGTCCATACACGTCTGCCGAGGCCACCTCGGCATTACGATGACTTCACGAGTGGCGTTCTTGAGATCAGCATCTATTGTCACCAGGTCCATTCCGCTTGGTTGCCCAGAGGATGGGGCTCCACGAGGAGAGCCTGTGAATTAGCAATGCCGCTCATCTGGTGAGAGAGTGGCGCCCTCCAGAAGAGACGACAGAATTGTGTAGAGGGAATTGGAGGTGTAGTAGGTTAGATTCGCTCTGCAGGACAGAAATGACATGGGTGTAGATGGGTCATTGGCCAGTTTACTCTGGGGAAAAGTCAGAAATGATATGAAAGTAAAAAGAAAATTATCGCAAGATGGCCATGACTTTTTGTATATTTATGCGGACATCCTAGAAAAAAGATTGAGAACCCAAAAGTGAGGATTCATGATGGCAGTAATCACGAGTGGCCTGCCCAGAAGATGATGCAACGTGCCACCAAGGGGCAAACCCTGGCTTGAAGGAGCCCTGGTGGTGGTGTAGGTGCCAGGTCGAGTTGCTCACCACAGGGGCAGCAGTTTTGGAACCACCAGCTGCTGCACAGAAGAAATGAGAGGTTTTTACTCCCCCCAGAATATATTGTAGTCTCAGAAACCCACAGGGGCAGTTCTTCTCTGTCTTGAAGGGTTGCTATGAGTCGGAATCTAGTTAAATCCGGGCTTGGGACTAGAAAGCCTTTCACTAAGACACTGTTGAATATAACTTTTATCTCTGAAAGCATGTCATTCCAAGATGGGGTCATCATGGCACACCAAGGATTTGGCTGGTCCAAAATCAAGCTAGCTCTGATTTGGGCAGGACTGAAGTTTCTGAGTTATGTTTTTTTCTAAGTGATATTAAATCGTAATAAACAATAAGACATTTATTATAGTTTCTAAAGCAACGCCTCTCTTTCTGTTTTCCAACATTGCCGAAACATGACAAGAGACTGTAGTAGGAAACAACAGAAATAGAATTAACTTTTCAGAACCAGAAAGGCTCTACTCCTAAGTGAAAAACTGAGATCTCCAGAATTGATTAGTAACAAGCCTAGCCCCGTCCATTATTCTTTCCATCACAGCTTGATTTTAGATAATATGGTCGTGCACCTAACTCAGGTGTACTGTCTCATGGCCCTTGGGTCACCACCTCTGCCACCCAGATTGCCTGCCCCCAATGAGCAACATTAGTGTGTAAACATTGAGAGAGAAAGTGGGCCCATGTCCATGTAAACACTTTTATTCATGTAGCTATCCTTACATATTTGGGATGATTTCTGTAAAACTCTGCAACAGTTAGAAGTCCTGTTTCTGTTGTCCTTAATTCAGTCATGAAGCTGCCTCGTTCAAGCGTTCCAAGTGGATGTTTAGTATCACGTTGTTAGGTGCCCTTCGAGTTGGTCCCAACTCACGAGTTCTGTCATTGCCTTGCTTAGGCCAGCTTTCAAGTCTTTTCAAACCGGGCTCTTGAGCACGCCATCTCACTAGTTTGAAATGGAACAGATTTTGAATCTATGTCTGATATACTGTCCCAGTATTTAAGTTTTGTTCTAAAACTATTCACACAAAACTAGGACAGTTACATTTTTAATTTGGTAGGGAACATACTTATGATCTTTAAAATACAGTGATTAACTGCACTGATTGATTAAAATAATTCTTAAAAGGCTATGTACAAGATCTAATCCTTTCAATTTTGAGTCCATTTCCACAGGAATAATTATTGTATATGATTCAATTTCTTTTTTTTTTTTTGATTCAATTTCTTTAACTCTTTAAAAAAGGAAAACTAACTCTTTCAGATAGTCTCTCCATAACAGCAAAGTAGGATTGCTTGAGCTCATATAAAGTTAATGTGTCTTCCACGGACAGTATTTTCTTGTTCAAAAGAAAAGTGCCTTGTAATGTGGAAATCCTTATAAGTTAGTATATAAGAATTTCTTCTCTACTGAGGAATATATTGGAGAGGATAACAACACTACTGATATTCAGTTATATATCATTTGTGGACTAAGAAATGGTATAGTACTATTACATAATTAAGTTGAAAACACATGATGTAGAGTTGGAATGCTATAGGAATTTGGACCAAGAAAATGTTTCCTGATTGGTTTCCTAGATAAAGTTGCAAGGAGGAAGTAGAGTCTGAACAATTTAGAATTTGGACAGTGGGGGCTCAGGCCAAGGAAGTGGATTCCAAGAATATGAACAACATGGACAAAGAATAAAATGTAGAAATACAAATGTGTGTGACTCACATATAAAGTATGTAGGAAACGCGCTACAAGAGCAAGGTTTTGTGTTGGTAAGTAAGAGGAAATAAAAATAAGGAGGCAAAATGGACAGCCAGACTGCGGCATGCAGGGAGCTCAAAATCCTGACCGTGTGAGCTGGAAGTGCTGCGGGTTCATGAGCAGGGAAAAGTAGAACATGCGGAACCAGCGTTCCAAAGACGGCGAGTGTGGGGGTACAGAATGTGATAGCTCAGAGGGGGCACGCGACTGCAATCCTAGGCTTCTTAGAGTTGCTTCAGCTATTCAGCTGTTGAGACTGGACTAGGGTGCTCTCTGGGCAAACAGTGAGAGAGATTTGGATGCACATGATTTTGGGAGGAAGAACCCGCAGTATATGCTAACACATAAAGAAGTAGAGAAAATCCAAAGTTGATTCTGGGGCTTGTAACCTGAAGTAGTAGGAAAATGATAATGCAAGTAACGAAATTGGAAAATCTTTTTTAAGGCGCTTTGGTTGAAGTAGAGCTGACAGAGAATGGAGTGGCGGTTCAGTCATGGGTGATGGAGAATCGAATGAGGCTTTAAAAACTATGGGAGAGGGTACAGCCTGTTTGAGTGATGCAGTACAGAGAGAGAAGCCATTACAGCCAGAGGGAATGATTGCAGGAGCTAAGTTTTTACAGAACAAGGCAAAATTTGGTCTGTTTCTCAGCAAAGCATTAAACCTGGGTTGTCAACAGACATGGACACAGAAGCAGGGATGGTTGGGATTTGAAGAGAAAGAAGAAAGTGTGCATCTCCGAGACAGGAAGAGTGAACTAACAAGGAAAATAGGGTAGACTGCCAACCAGTGTTGACAGCTCACTTGAGGTGAGTGGTTACCAATGCGAAGGAAGACCGGTCAGCAGTTGGGTGATTTTCCCCCCTAGCTCTGCTGCTGGCGCACAGTAAGTGGGGAGGTGACTCCCAGGATTGATATTTTTCCTGGCAAGAGTGATAGAAGGAGGTACAAAAAGAGATTAGGGGTTACACAAATGTAGTTGTGGTGACAGAGCATGTAATCTACGCTGGGAAGGAGACAGTGGTGTAGTGATTGGCTGGTAGGGTCAGTGGCAGATAGGCCCAGGTGGTGTAGAAGCGTTGCTGGAGGAGGGTAGCTGAGGAAGTTTCTGAGAATATTTGAGGTCAAGATTTCAAAAATGGAACTGCCCTTGGTACTTGGCTGACGGGGAATGAAGGACAGGAGCATGGAGTTGGGAGGTCAGGGGCTGAGCCAAGGTGGCTTGTCTACTTGGGTGGTCAATTGGCTGCATAGAATGATGGTAGCAATAGTAGTAGGGGGAAGGAACTGAGCCGGAAGGTCTGTAGGTAAATGTAACAACATGTTACTTGTTTGGTGATATAGCCTGATTGTGTACATTTCAAATCAACAAGGATGTTGTTTTCAAAGTGTAAAGTAGCCATGAGAACAAAGAGGAGCGCTACCTCACCTCCGTAAGGTATGAACTACAGACAATAAAGACAGCCTTGCCTGAGAGGGCTCAAGGGCAAAAGAATAGTCAGGAGGTCCCCAGGTTTCAACTAGAGCATGAAGGTCAAAGGAAACCCCAGATGTTCAAACGAAGGCACTGGAGAGTTTGCTGATAGCAGACCTCTGTGCATTCTGGAAGGCACAGTCAATGGATTCCGGAGGTGGGCTATGAAGTGGTTATGCAGAGCTAAGGTGGGATCAGAGTCCAGTGGTGAATTTGGACTTGGTTCTGCTGGTCTCTTATAGGAAGGTGAATCGTTGGGTACAGCTGTAACTTTGCAGTTTATAGTGTTAAGATGGGCGGGCAGTGTTGGTGATGGGTGGGAGGAGGAGTATTCTTGCCAGAGTGTGATGGGAAAACCTGGATTTCCTCTTTGATTAAGCTTTTTGGAGTGATGTCAAGAAGGATTTTTAAACAGAACTACAACCTTAAAAAAATTGTAGAATTCACTGCAGGCTATTCAATACCATATTCATAGATTTATGGGAAATATTGACAGCATCTGGGCAGTGATATGATTCCTTTCATGTACTTATATTTGCTTAGAGAGAATGAGTTGGTCTTGGATTTTACCTACTATTTATTACCTGTAATGTATGTGCACACTATTATAAAATCAGTCGGTCAAAGGTCTGTCAGATTAATCTTTGAAGAGGAGGAAGTCTGATAACGGACAGGCCTGCAGTCATATTGCTTCCCCAGCTCTAGGGAAAACCTGTTCAGGTCAAGTCATCTATGAGTCATAGCAACCCCAGGACAGGTAGAACTGACTCATGGTTTCAAGGTTATAATCATAGAGTGGCTGGTGAGTTCTGACTGCCAGCCTTTCTATTTATCCGATACGTGCTATAACCACTGTGCCACCAGGGATCCTTAATGCTATGCTACCCTCCCTATATATCACTAAGTTTGTATTTACTCTGTAAAATGAAATAGGGGTACACAGGTAGAGAAGGGAATCAAATCGGCAAAACCAGAACCAGCCTGTGCAGCTG